AGCTCTCTGCCAGCTATGCTACTACAGCCTGACTCCTACACTGCTACAGCTCTGTGTGACTGCTACAGCTCTCTGCCTGCTACCCGGCTACTGCCTGCCTCCCTGCAACACTGCTACAACTCTACCTGACTGCTACAGCTCCCTGACAATTTCTATGCTGCTGCTACTCTGCCTGACCAGTAGGGCTTTCCGGCTGCTACACCATGACAGCTTGTTCCCTGACTGCTGTAGTGCTCTGCCTGGTCTCCGCGCAGTCGCAGCTCTCTGCCTGACCTTTATGCTACCCTCCATCATATGTCCCCAGTGTCAGCTGCTCGTGTAGCTAGACAGGCAGACGGCTGGGATGTTGCATGTTAACTCAGTCCCCGTGACAATCTGAGCAAGTGATGCCTTCCCCTCTACTTACTCTTCCGCCGTCCTTGCCGGGAGCTCCTTCTGGGCCTTTCTCACCGATATCACCCTGTGGGAGGAGATCAGAGAGAAGTTACCACCCAGCCGCCAGTACCACTGAACCATCCCAGGGCAACCATGGACCATGAGCCCCTCCTCCACCCCATCAGCTCAGAGAGGGTAGCAAAGAGATCCCAGGATCCAAGGGATCCCAGAGATAGATCAAGAACCAATGGGGGCTTGGACTGCTTGATTGGCAGATGGTCTTTCATCTGCTGCAGGGGATAGAAATGCTTAGAGTCAGGGACCACAGATCATCTAGCCTGATCTCCCGTGTGTTACAGGCCACTCATAGCATCCGGCACCCAACAACCGAAAGTAGACCCAGGTATCACAGCCCACAGGGGACCCAGCTATTGCATGCCACAGGTCGGGGGTAGGTGGCACCAATGCCCCTGCAACGGCCAGAAACTGCTTAGAGCTTCCAAAGCTCTGATGGAAGCAGCTGATCTTGTGTCCTCCGGCCCATGGGTCTGAACTCTCTGCAGTAAGGTCGACATCCCCAAGGCCAAATATATTCAGTGCCGGGCAGGTTCCCCTTCCCATATCTCCCCAGCTGGCCCCTTCTTTGCAGGAACGTGGCGAGATCCCGTAGCTCCACTGAAGTCAATGGGGCCAGCTCCCAGCGTCTATAAATCAGCATCACTACATTGAAATCATTACGTCTTCCATCGCTCTCACCCGCCGGGAATCCAGCCCTGCGTGTGCACCTGTCTGCCCTGTGCAATGCCTGACCCCTGAAGTCCGGGGGAAGGCGCAACTTACCCTGTCTCCCTTTGGTCCGGAAATACCAGCTGCTCCCCTCTCACCGGGCATCCCCTGCAGACCGGGGGGACCTTGGGCACCAGTAGGGCCGGATGGACCAGTCGCACCCTAGAACGGAGGAACACAGCGAGGTCACTGGGTGATGCAGACGGGGCAGGATTGGCCACGCCTACTTCCCGTGCACTGAGCTGCACTAGGATAGCAATCAAGTCAGCCTGACCTGCTCTGCCCTGGTGGAACGTTCTCCCAACGGACAGACCGGATGCTTCTGGGGCCCAGCCCTTTGGGGCCTTTTTAACCGTGATGCCCACAAAGCCTGCAGCTGCTAAGGTCAGTTTTCCTGCCCCCCTCCCAGGGCAAGAGCTCAGCCTGGCGATCGGTACGATGCCACCCCGGGTGGGGCTTGAACCGTGGCCCTCGAGAGCAGAAAGCCTGAACCTCGCATGCCAGAGCTAAAGGACCGGCTCTCTTAGCCCGGATGCAGCAGCAAGGACCGAATCCTTTTCCATGCTCCAGCTACTAGAGAGAGACAAAGGGAACCTACCTTGGGTCCGTCGGTACCAGGAGTTCCGGGGAGCCCTCGAGCGCCCTGCAGACCTTGTGAACCTGGAGAGCCACGTTCACCCGGGAAGCCACGTTCACCCTGGCGTGGAAAGAGACACCGTTAGGGAGAGGTCACAGCTGGGGACTGGCCAGGACAATTAAAGGGCCCAGGCGGTTTTATCATTGCAACAGGGTCGCTCGGGGCTGCCCTGCTGCGGCGGGTGGCTGCCGCGCTCCACCCCAGAGGTGGCTGCGTATCAGCGCTGGGTGAATGTTCCCTAGCGGCTGCCTGTTAGATGCTCGGGGATTGCCTGGAAGATGCTGTAGAAATACCGGGGGGGTTAAACAGGGCACCCAAAAGTGGAGGGGCCAAAACTGAAAGGTGGCTTTTGACAATAAGGGCCTTGGAGGGGGTGGTTAGTGGTGCAGGGGGGTGCTCAGGGGCAATGTTAGCGGAGATGCAACAGGTGCTGAGACCATGAGCAGCAGATACACGGCCAAGAACGACAGCACAGTCTTCTTGTTCTGGGTTTGTACAGCACCTAGCACGATGGGCTCCTGGTCCATGACTAGGGCTCCTGGGCACTACCGTAATACACCTAATAACTAATGTACAGCACCTAGCACCATGCAGCCCTGTTCCATGACTAGGGCTCCTGGGCACTACCGTAATACACCTAATAACTAATATGCAGCACCTAGCACCATGCAGCCCTGTTCCATGACTAGGGTTCCTGGGCACTACCGTAATACACCTAATAACTAATGTACAGCACCGAGCACCATGAGGCCCTGGTCCATGACTAAGGCTACTAAGTGATACCTTAATACATAGAATACATAGCAATAATAATGTACAGCACCTAGCACAACAGGGTCCCGATTCATGACAAGGGCTCCAGGGCACTACCGTAATATATCTAATAAATACCATACAGCACCTAGCGCGATGGGCTCCTGGTCTAGGACGGACTCCTAGGAGCAGCCGTAACACACCTAATAAATAACCATAACCTGGCTGCTGAGCTTCCCGCTCTGCGACCCGGAGGACGAATAGTACTTACTCGGGGACCCACAAGGCCTGGGGTGCCAGCTTCGCCGGGGACGCCCTACGGAGAGCAAGAAGGGGGAGAAGGCAGTTACGCGCCGAGACAAGAGAGCTCCTTCCCTAGCCAGAGACGCACCACCCCGTGCAGAGAGAAGATGGGGCTAGGGAACAGACCTACAGCAGGGCCCGCTCTCCCCAGTTGCGGTAGGGCCAGTTCGCCCTGGGAAGGGCTCTGGCTGCCATTTGATTCGGACCGGGCGGACGTGCAAACCGGCAGCAACGGGCGAGCGATGGTTGTTTCCGACTAGCCGCTTTCGGACGGTGCGAGGGGACCGGTCTGGCCCTGGTGCACCGCACACGCTGTCTCGCTCCCGAGGTGGCCCAGGAAACCCTAGATCGGGGTGGCTGCGGGAGGGGGGCACACGGAGTCTGACAGAGCCCCAAGTTTAGTGACCATCAGGCTTCGTCAGTGACTCAGGCTTTTCCCCGCATGGTGGCTTGAGCCAGGTGGGCTGAACCTCCCTGACCCAGCGCCGGCCCCCGGGGCCCCCGGGCTAAACCTTGCAAAGGGGACTCAGTTGCCAGCTCGCATGGCAGCTCTGTTCATGGCCTGCAGTGAGGCACTAAGGAGGCTCCAGGATGGGGTCTGAACTCACCTGATCTCCTGGCTTGCCACCTTCGCCTGGAGGACCTGGGGGGCCGGGGAGTCCCTGAAAGGAAGCAGTGCAGAGAGGTTAGCCATGACCGTAGGTGTCTCATGTCCACACTGTGGGCCCCGGGCTTGTGGACTTGCACTGTAAACCTGGGTTTGCAGTTGCTGGGGCCGGGTCTCAGAGCCATGCTAACGCGTCCACTACGGAGACCTTCTGACTCGGGTCTGTGACTTGAGCTGCATTCACACTGCAAAATGACAGGGTCTGAATTCACAGCAGGACTTGGGCTCTGACCCACCCCCCCAAGCAGGGTCCTAGGATCCGGGTGCTTGCTGCCCTGAGTCGGACTGATGTGTGTGTAGACGGAAGGGGGGCTTGGACTCAAACCTGAGTCCCAGCCCAGGCTTAGTGTGCAGTGCAGACACATCCTCAGTCTCTGGGCTGGGGGGGGCATGTTCAGAGCACGTGTTGGGTGACAAAAGGCCCAGCTGGGATTCCGGATCTGGCACGTGTGACATCGGCTCCTGGAAGCAGCCAGCCTGCTGGCACTAGGGCTGATGGATGTGGCTACAGCCTCCAACGGAGATTCACCGAGCAGGCCAGAGCTCCTGGGGATGGAGCTGGGGCACAGGTATTTACAGGACTGCCCCGACCCCACAATGCAAAAGGGTTAAAAGGCGTCGCTCCTACTCACCTGGAAGCCAGAAGGACCTGGCGAGCCCTGTTCACCCCTCTCGCCAGCAGGCCCCTGCAGAAGGAAGGGAGAACTGTGAGCGTAAACTACACCCAGTTCCGACCCCAGATTTAGGGCCCAATGGGGAGATGACACCTGCGATAGGACAGGGCTACGGTGCCCGTGATGGGACAGGACACATCATCCATAGAATCATAGAATATCAGGATTGGAAGAGACCTCAGGAGGTCATCTAGTCCAACCCCCTGCTCAAAGCAGGACCAATCCCCAACCAATCCAGGACACCCATCCTGTGTGTTAGCCCTTGAAGTTGGATATCTGTGACCTGGTTTGTTTTGATTTGATTTGTTCTCTAAACCAGGCTCCCCTATGTTAGAGCAGCCAGGTTCTGGCCAAAAAAAAAATTTAAACCCAGAGCGCCCTCTGGTGGCCACATGTGGGTTCTACATTGCAACCAAATTCCACTCAGCATCCATCCACCCCTGTTATTAGGTGAAGTGCGGACTGACAACTCACTGACTAGGTGTGGTATAGGGTCCCAGTGTGGGGAACCTGGAAAAGGATCCTCCAGTCTGGTAAAGGAGCAGGATCCCCCAGTCTGGGGTAACTGGGCAAGGGGCAGGGTCTCCCAGCTTGGAACTGGGAAAGGGACAGATCCCCCAATCTAGTGTAATGGGGTCTCCCAGTCCGGGTTGCTCTATAGGAAAGAAATCTCAGTCTCTGTGACCAGCAGGCCTATGGGTCCATCTCTGTATTGTGGCTAGAGACCGGCCTCGCTGATTTCCTTCTACCCTCCCCTTCCCCCCCCCCCCACATTCCTCATGCTGACGTCTATATAAACGAGGAAGCAGCAAATACTCACGGCAGGTCCAGGGGGGCCGGAAGCTCCTGTCTCACCATCTTTGCCAGGAAGACCCTAGAGAGAAAAGAAACCCCCAGGACATTGATCAGTGACCCTTTTTAGCTACCAGACTGTTGTGCTTTTAAAATTCCCTCCTGGGACTTCACAATCTTTCTCTGCTCCTGTTGCAATGGATTAGGCAGCAGTAGATTTCTCCATCTATCTGTCCATTTATCCTTCTGTCTGTCCATCCAGCTGGGCTCTCATGTTGACCCCGTATCACTAGGGCTTTGTGGTGCACCCACCGAATTTTAAAAAAATCAGAACGCCGCTCCTTGAGAGAGGAAGGTGCTGAGTTCAAGTCCTGGCTTGGCCCGGCTGAGTCACGTAATCTATCCGGCCCTGTTTCCATCTGTACGATGGGGCTCCCAACGCTGCCTTTGTCAGACATTGATTAAGTGACCCTCCTAAAACAAGATCTCTGCCAGCCAGGGGCAGAACGGGGAGGGACTTTCCCAGGAGCAGTGCGGGGAACCCTGTGGTGGGGGATATTTGAAGCTAGACTGGAGCACCCGACATTAAAGGTGCAAAGGGAAGCAATCCTGCCCTGCCTCCTGGGAAATGGACTGGCCGGAGTCTGATTCTGGGCGTGGCTACCTGCAGGGAGGGGCTGGGGGTGTCAGCCTTTGTTGTAGTAGAGTGGGGAGGGGAAGATAAACCCACTTACTCTCAGACCAGGGGCGCCAGGCAATCCTTTCTCTCCAGCTTTACCAGCCTCACCCTAGAAGGAAAGAGAACACATGGCGCGATGAACGAGGCCCCGGTGTCACCAGAACAGGCTCGGGGTCACCTCCGCTAGCCAGTCCCCGCTTCTCTGCAGCAGGTGCCCGGGCTGACATCACCGGGAGTGATACAAATGGGGTCCATGGAGCTGGGGCTAGCCCAGTCCTAGCTCCACTCCAGCTGATCTGAAGAAACGGCAGCTCCACGGGGCACCTGGACATGTTGGCGCCAACTGGGGCATTTCCCAGGGTCCTTTGCTTCGGGCCTCTCATCCCTCCTTTGCCCGATGCCTGACTCAGTGGCGAAGCTCACAACAAGCTGCCCAGGGCTGTACATGTGTAGATGGACTGCAGGGGTGCCCATTGCCACTGCAAGAGTCTCCATCCCCCGCGGCTTCACTGGGGCTGTCCCTTGGCCCACGCTGTCTGGCAGGAAGGGGACATGGGGGTGGGGTCCCACTTCAGGAACGTGTACTTACGTTAGCACCTTTTGGCCCTGGGAAACCCATGACGCCAGGCTGCCCGCGAGCACCTTGGGGGCCCGGTGGGCCCGGGCGACCGTCCTCACCAGCGGTACCCTGCAGGGAGGCACAGAGGTTAGCACGTTAGCAGACGATCTCCCTCTTGCGCTCTGAGCAGCCCCCGCATGCAGTCTCTAAGAACCTGCAGCTTAGTCTGGGCAAGAGCGCTGGAGGTCTCATCAACTGTTGGCACAGGCACCAACAGTGCCAAGGACTGGGGGCTTTGTTCCCCCCTGGCAAAGCGCTGAGTTGAGGCTGTTCTGTTTTCTGCGCTATGAGACCCTGCCCGTCCCAGGAGGGGAGCACTCTGCCAGGGGGCATTCGGAAAGTCCCAGGATCACCCACCACTCAGCCACACTCCCTGTAACACCCAATATCCCCACCCCAATCACAGCCCCCACCCAGCACCCCCAAAGCACAGCACCCACCCAATATCCCCTCCCCAATCA